CACCTTAACCAAAATCAAAGTAGACTATCACTCACCCACACCAGATGGAAAACTCTACAGACTGTCGGTTCACATATATATATATATATATATCGTCACAAACAGAACTGCCCGATATATATATATATATATCGTCAAATAGAACTGCCCGGTAAACCGTAGGCAGAGAGGGAGAAGAGGACAACAAACGAGGGGCTGTGACAAACTGTTTCGTCGGAGTTTCACCGACTCATATATATTACAACAATCCGGTTCATATTCCCCCGGCAAGTCAATATGGAATACATGGGAGACCCACACACGTTCCTCTCCCCATTATGGCTGAGAGGCCCGTGTGGATGGCATTGATTGCTTCCCTGAGGAAGGATGTACCACCACTCACCCCTGCTTAAGTTAGCCTGCGCCACTTATTCTGACTGACCCTTTCAAATCTGACTGACCCCAGTCCGACTCCTCTCAGTTGTACTGAGTTGGGTCGGTGTGCTATGCTAGAGCAGTCTGGGACGCTTGTGAGCCTCTTGAAATATTTAAAACCCTAAACCTTACTTGCCATGAATCTGTCTAAACCATGAACCCTTGTCTATTTAACCTTTCTTTTTTCTTTTTTCTTTTTTCCCAAAAAACAGCTCCATCTATTGGTGGGGAGCATCACCTGCTGGAAACCGGGTCCAGCGTCCCTGGAATACATCTTTACAATCTTTCCATTTAAAAAAGACACCACTATGCTGGAAAACGGGTCCAGAGTCCCATATTAAAACTATATTCGTGTGTTTTTTAACTACAGTCTATTGCCACACTTGGGGTGTAAGCTATACTTCTTGGCATTTCTGAGATTCTTGGTTGCCCTACATTGCTGTGTCTCCATTGTCCACGTCCAAATAGTATTCTGTCGTTGACTATTGTTGCTATTTTCTCGTCGCCCAGTCTCTGTTTTGTGAATTGTTCTATCATTTTATCTTTGTTTTCTATGTTCTTTGAGATGATCCAGGTTGTTTATTGCCAGCGTCCTCTGTGTTCCACTTCCAGTAGTCGCAACACCCAGTATGCTCGTTAACGGGTTATAAATTCTTCGATGTTCGTTTTCGAGCCCTTTTTTTATTTATTTATTTTTTTTACCGCATTGTCTGGTAGAGCTACCTCGCCTGTTGGGTCCTTCCTTAGTAGACTTGTGGTTGCTCCTGGGTCCTCAATTGGGTACATGTCGCAAATAAGCCATATCTGGAAGAATAGACGTTGTGTTTGTGGCCCAGTCGCTTGCTTTCCATTGGAAGGGGCCCCTTAATAGCTCTGGCCAGTTGTTAGGGATTGATAATAGAATGCCAGTTAGGTTCTCCTATAAATTGTGACCCCCCAAGTTTTCGCGCAGTTCTCCTCTGTTTTCCATCTCCCTATTGAGGCGTGTGCCATATGTGCTTGACTTCAAGTTGCCATACTCCCCTTTCCACCCATGAGTCGCATTTGGAGTCTTTGGCTGTAAGTGTCCAGGGTTTCCCTTGCATGTCTAAAATCCATTGATTACAAAAGATAGGCTGTCTCAGAACCTCTACTTTGGCTGGGAGTATTTCCCTCCAGTCTTTTACCAGTTGCTGCCAGAAGTCATGGTTGTGTTCTGCGTCCAGTTCTTCTTGATCTGTTTCCCTGCAGGAGCCTTTCATGGCCAATGATTTGGACATGATTAAAAAAAGACCCTCCATGTTGTCCAAAGTTTTAAGTTTGGCCAACTGTTTTATTCTGTGCAATCCTAATTCAACCCACGGGAGGTTATTCATTATGATTTTGAGGATCCATTTCGGCGATTTATGATTTTGAGGATCCATTTCGTCGATTTATGATTTTGAGGATCCATTTCGGCGATTTATGATTTTGAGGATCCATTTCGGCGATTTATGTTTCTGGATCGAATACTCCCAACCCTTCTTGGGATTTCTTCAGGATGACATACTTCAATGTTACCTCGGAGATGAAATGGGCTTTGGAGGGATCCCCGGACCAGAGGTAGGTTGACGCTTTCCTTCTGAGATGGGTTCTCAGTAACTTGCGGGGACTCCATATCGTCGCCGCATACCATAACATGGAGAAGATGGAGGGAGGCATTGCGGAGTAGGGGTCGTCCGAAGGTTGATGTGTGTACGTCGGACCAGCTACCCAGTTTGGCAATCATCTTGTTCATAATTGCTGGAGCCATTCAGTGGTTGGGCCCTGCCTTAGACACCTGGATGCCAAGCAAACGGAGGGGTTCGCTGCCTTTGGAGTCTGGACCACGGCATTCCTTCTGATGTGCCTTGTGGTGTGTTGACTCGTGGATCAATTAGCCACCACTGCATCCCATCGTTTTGGGCCAGTTTATTTTCATTTCTGAAGCTATCTGAAACGCTTGCATTGCTCACGTCAGCGCCTCAGAGGAAGAGTCTGAGGCGCGTATCAACACTGTTTAAGTCATCGACGAAGAGGATGGTGGTGGGGAGACTCGTCGGATGGTGACCATCCTCCATGAGTCTCTCTATTGAGGGGTCCTTACGTAGGCAAGAGGCTATGGCCTCCACGATGAACAGAAAATGGGTGCTGCTAAGGGGTCTCCCTGTCGTACTGAGCGTGATATGCGGTAAGGCTGGGACATATGCCCGTTGACCTGCGCACCCGCCCATGGGCATCCACGTAGAGGATTCAAATTTCAAATTTCAAACCCATTTCCTGAAGTTGGGACCCACCCCCAAATTCTCCATGCTTTGCTAACTTGGTCATAGGCCTTGTCAAAGTCCACGTAGAATAATATGGTCGCATTCATTCTCTTGTCTTGAATACATCTTACAGATTCTGAGAGGGACATTACATTGTCCAGTATGAATCTTCCGGTATGCAGCCGGTCTGCTAGGATTTTGTGCGTGACGGTTGAAAGAGAGATTGATCTATAATTCTTAATGTCTGTCAAGTTGCCCTTCTTGTATAGGAGAGAGACCACTCCCGTACTTTGTAGAGCTCCTATAGTTCCTTCCTCCCACGCTTTTCCTAAGAACTGGAAGTACTTTGTCCCGAGAGCCAGCCAGAAGGTCGTCCAGAATTCTTTGGATAGGCCGTCTATACCTGGAGTTTTATTGGGCTTCATCGATTGTAGTGCTTCGTAAATCTCCTCTCCCGTGATTGGGGTGTCCAGCGTTGCACTCCTGTTCCAATGAAATTGTTTTATCTAGGTATGTAAGGAACTTGGTTCTGGCTTGTGATGAAAGTCACTGCCGACACTCGCATTTGTTGTGGATTAGTTGTTAAACCACTAGTACCTCCGCGCCTATTTTCGACAAGTACTGGTCTACCTCCGAACTTTCAGGAGGCCGAGCCCGTCGTTGATAAATCCGATCGGCGGTCGTCGTTTCGTTTCGGCCTCCTGAAAGGTCGGAGGCCGAGTATTTTCGAACTGACAAAGGTACTAGTGGTTTAAGCCTTGGTCTGTTTGTAGTTGGTCAACGTGCGAGTTCCTAGCATTTCTCTTGATTTTACAAAAGAAATATTTGGTCATCTTATCCCCTTCTTCCCATTCTCTTACACTTGCCTGCATTCGTAGACCTTTGTTTCGCCAGTCTTCCCATTCTGATAGTTCCTGTCTGGCCTGTTTGAATACTCCTTCGTATAGATTGCGGCCTGGGTGACTTGTGAGGTTCTTTTTCCGCTATTTTAATCGCCATTTGTAGCTCCTCTTCTCTTGCCTTTCTTTTGGCTGCCAGTGTTCTCGTGAGATCGGGGGCTGTCATTGGGAAGGTCATCAGGTTCTGGCTGCACTGTCCTGGTATTGATTAGCCAATCCTTGAGAACTAGCCTATCTCCCACAATTGAGCCAAGTTTTCCATTGCCTAGCCTAAAGGTCATGAATTTCTTGATGAGTTCTGTTGTTGTTGTTGTTGTTGTTGTTGTTTTTTAATCCAGTACTTCACCTGGAACTGTTCTTTTTTTTTTTTTTTTGTTTCAGATGGCTTGGATCACGGTTTATATGATCTGTTTGATGGTGACGAGGGGATTCTCGGAGTTTGTGCTGATATTGTTGACATTTGTTGCACATCTCCTTTTCCATATAGCCCAGAGGGTTCCCTTTCTATTTGTTTGTTTGTTTGTTTTTTTTTTGTTTTTTTTTTAATTAGGGAGAAGAAGAAATAGTGCAAATCCTTGGGGGGTCTATTCTTTGTCTAGGAATAGAGTGTCGGGATTCACTACGATCGTTTTGTTCGAATGCTTGTTCTAGGTTGTTTCTATGTCCTGCCACAATTGTTTGGCTTCGATGCACTCCATGAAACAGTGGTTGAGGGATTCATCGGTTTGTGAACTGCATATAGTATATGGCTGCTCCTTTCTCTCTTCTTTTCTTCTTTTTTGTGAGACACCATGTTGCTTGCTCCTTTCTCTCTTCTTTTCTTCTTTTTTGTCAGAGTCATCAGTTGACGGTGACTGCTCTGAAGGTTATGAGCCACAGTGCTAGTTTGGTTGGTCTTGTGCAGAAGATCGAGGACCAGGCTGGTTTGATGATAACATCAGAAAGAGTGGTTTCTTCTTTTCCCCGTCGATTTTGCTCTCTATGGGTTCTTTGACATTGGGATCCCCTCCAAAGTCACAAAGCTTGGAAGTAAAAGATCGCAAAACTCATCAATCAAAGTGTCATCTGAGTATCTAACAGCACCACACAAAGTTTGGTTGGTCTTGTGCAGAAGATCGAGGGCCAGGTTGGTTTGATGATAACATTTAAAAGAGTGGTTTCTTCTTTTTCCCCGGCTCTTTTGCTCTCTAAGGCTTCTGTGACATTGGGGTCCCTCCAAAATCACAACGCTTGGGAAGTATTAGATCGCAAAACTTATGATGAAACTGTCATCCCTGTTTCTATCATCACCACCCAAAGAATACTGTGCGTTCACTCGTTAACCGTGTACCATGTTAAACCACCAGTACCTCGCTCAGCTATTGAATCCGAGCCTCCCAGCACGCTGCGCGCCAAGTCCTGGCGAACCGCCGTCGCAATTTTCTTTTTCGTTTTGCCTGCGGCCTCCAGCCAATGCGGTCCGGCAGGCCGAAGCCCAAATGGCGCGGTGCGTATACGGGAAGCGCCGCGGCCGATAGCTGGGCCAGGTACTGGTGGTTTAAGAAGGGTTTTTGCTTTTCAGGGTCTCCTTATTGACACCCAGAGTCTGCTCCAGGGCAGGAAAACGATAAAAGCGGGGAAGACTGGAAACACGACCAAAATAACGGCAAAAAAAACTCAATCACAGGAAACCAAGGAACCTAGCATGCAAAAAATGTCCTCAGCTTCACCGAGTCCTCGAGGTCACACAAGCTTCAGAATCACAAAAGTTGCTGAATGTCGCCACTCGCCCAAACCACCCAACAATGTCCTGATCCGAGTTATCAGCCAGCAGCGGGAGAGGGAGAGGAAGATGTAAAAGGGCCAGAGGAGCAGGCCTTGTCCAGAAGGCTGAGATATGAGGACATGACAACCACATCCACATGCATTGTAGAGACAGAACACAAGAGGTGATAGCAATGACACGCCCATTCGCCTATCTTCCATATCATCAAAAAAGCAATCATTTTTTTTTTTTTGTTTTTGTTTTTGGGTGTCTTCATCTCTTGTGATTGAAATTGAAACGATGTTTGAGAGATGGACTCAATGTGGCAGCGGCGCAGTTCAATCTCAGTTGATTGAGTTAAAAAAGAGATTCAAAAAACACAAAGTGACAGCAAGATATGCAAACTAGCCATTCCGTCGGCACGCCCACCTATTGCTCCCCACCAATAGATGGAGCCTGTCCCCGGGTGCTAGCGATGTCTGCTCCTACCAGCATCGCTAGCACAGCAGGGGATGGTTTTCTTAAAGGCACGCCCACCTACCCCCCGAGCTGTTTAAGACAAAACAGATGATGCAAACTTGCAAACCCGAATGGGATATATATGAAACCTTCGAACAACGAGAACAGGAGAGAGGACAATGATAATATGGGGCAAAGCCACACAATGTGTTTATCATCCCATAACAAGAGCCCTGAAATCGCAACCATTATCTTGGTGAAAAAAGGCAGAAAGAATTGGAAAAAAAAAAAAAAAAGGTCTAACCAAAATTTGACATAGCCACTATTAGCCAGTAAGCTACAAAATCATGGAAATGGAGGGGGGGAAAAAAAATGACGACAAAAGAAGTGTTGGCAAAACAGAAGCAAGGTGAGACCAAGATGATACCTCCTCCTCGCCGCCCCCTTCTTTCCCTCTGCCGATTGTCAATCATATCCCTCGTAGGCCATCAGTGACCATACAAGGGAGATCATCTGGCAGATGACGACTGCAGACGATCAGCGTAATCTGTGTATGCCCGTGCAATGAGTGACACTGCTCCGCCACAGTTATGTGGGAGATCGGCCCATACTCCATTCCATATCGCAAAAGCACCCAATAAACGAACACGATCGGGGAGGCCGAACTCTCTAGTAGATTACCACCGCGTTTTCTTGCTTCTAGATAACGCGGAGACTAATTTTCCTACAAGAAAGAGAGCAAAATTCTGGCCCTTCAACACTTCGTTGCCGGCTTCGCCAGACTACTTTGACAGCAGCAGCAGCAGAAGCAGCAGCAGCAGCAGCACATGTTTGCCAAAGCACAACATGCAGGGGAAAAAATCCTCTGGAAGTCCCCGTAGTCACCATTGAATAGCCAAAAGATCACGTAAACAGCCAGAAAACAGTACCACATCATTCTGTGCTGCTCTCTGTCTTCTCACCCTGCTGACGATTGCCACACTCATCTGCTTGCTCTCTTCGCATGGCTTAAAAGTACTTTATGAGCCTTGGCTCGCCTCTGGTATGGTTGTTCGATTCGCGACAACCGAAGAATGCTTCAAGTCTTTAGGAGAAGGCTCTCAATTCTGATGTGATTTTACTTAACCCGTAGGATTTCTGCGGCCATACCGACACTACAACTTTCCAGCACGTACTTTCTGCATAATTAAGGCTGGATTCAGTTTAACAAGTCCCATGTATGTGCTCCACGGGTGTTCTTGTCGAGCCTGCTCCATCTTTTCATCTCAGCCAAAGGCTCATGCAAACAATGCGATGTCAGGATTTGCTTTTCTGCCCATCGAAACTCGTGGCACTAAACGTTCATTCCATTCTCGCCGCCTATGCTTACTCCACTAGACGCCCCTGCAACTTTTGTTGTCGAACTAGGGCACATGCAAACAATGCAATATCAGGGTTTACTTTGGTGCAAATAAAAAATCATGATGGAAAAACCTCAAGGCCATTTTCGTTACTCAAAACACATATAAGATCCTTTCGAACTCCATGTCAGTCCTTGGTAGCATCCAAGCGTCACTTTTGGCTAGCGCTCCCCACCCAATTTTCTCCTCCTTTCTGTACACACACAACACAAGCAGAATCAAAGAAACCAGTGAGAGGCATATTGCAGTGCACCTTATGTGGTTAATACTTCCTATGTGGCTGAATGGCACAGACAAGTAGCTGTTTGCACACATACCACAAGTCTCTATTCTTTACTTGAGAGTTAAAAAGTTTAAAAAAAAAACGGAAAGGGTGATTATCGCCTTGAGATATCATCATTGAGCTGAAAGGCCCCTCGTACTTCAGTGATTATCTTATTTTCTTCATCTGATTGCATCATTTTGTTCATCTGATTGCATCAGGAATCGAACTTGGGTCTTCAACAGTTCCTGGCCGTAACAATGGAGCTAGGCGCTTTCGTCTGAATACTGATGGACCCGAAAGTACCAAAAATTCTGTGAGCCGTCTATCTCACTACAAAATGGTCTGAGTGTTAGGCAGCCCATGCGGCTCAAAGGTAAACAGATTAAGAGTTCGAATCCTGATTGAATCAGACAGATACCATGTGGCGAGAGGCTGCCCGTTTTGAAAAATTGGAAAGATGCTGGTAATTGGGCTCCGCTTGCACAGCTCTTAAGTAGGTAGCACAGATGATGCTCATGAATCATCCAGCTGCCAAGAGAGGAAGTATCAGATACCAGAATTGAAGGCTGAAGGAGCACCTAGGTCAGACTGATCTTGCATGAAGATAAAGATCTTCTGACAAGCACAGCATCTCAAGTCCAGAAACACCATTTTGCGGTCTGGCAGAACCCAGTCTAACAAAAGTGCACTGGGTTCCTCACCACTGAATGCAGCATTATGAATCACATTTGCGTTCCAGCTACTACAACATGGCACTTCCTACCTACAACAATCCTCTTTGCGGACGACCTCACAGTCTCAATAGGGCCATGCAGGCTTTTCAGCTAGCAGCAGAAATGCGGATCAACTGGTCAAAGACGATGGCGTGGTGGCTGACCAACGGTGGCAGACAGTCCCCAGCATCCACACTTGCAGGCCTTCAATGGCAGACGGGCGGGCACCGGCTCTGATACCTGGGTATCTAGACGAATGCAGATGGACCGGACCACTCACAGGCACCTTTAACCCTGGGCAAAATGCGGGCCAAGATGGAATCTTGGTCCGGAATCTACACATCGATGTACTCAATGCCTCTGTGTTCTCAATGATGTGGAGCCCGCTGATGTCACTAAAAAAAGACATCTGGAGAAGAGCCACGGCCTACCTCTAGATGGGAGAGTCGTCTCGTCAGCACTTTATCCCCAAAGTAGCTTGGCGAGACGTGGTCCTTCCGAAGAGCCAAGGTGGGTTTGGTGTCATAAACGCGGAACTCCAGATCCAGGCACTGCAAATTAAGTGGATACTGAAACTGCTACTCCAGCAGGTGCTGCCGTGGCATACCTTGGGGTTGCGCTCCATCAGACGCCTGCCCAACTTCGACACTCCACCTGACATGCAATGCACTTTCTGGCTCATGGTTACCCCAGCCCACTTAGCCTATGGTTAGGTGTTAGCCTGCCAAGCCGTTGGTTGTGTGCTCAAGTCTTGTTTTCAACATGCACATGCTTTCGCACAGTAACCACCATGGAGTAGCACACTACGGTAATGTGGCTGCGTAGGGGATGTGTGGTTGGGTACACCATGTGGCGGGATATCCGTGCTGGGGTGGGGCGAAGTACTCATCTTGGGGCTTCACTTTCACCCCACCACACTTAGCCTTATGGTTCGGTGTTAGCCTGCCAAGCTGTTGGTTGTGTGCTCGAGTCTTGCATTCAACATACAAATGCTTTCGCGCAGTAACCGCAGTAGAGTAGTACACTGCGGCAGCGTGCCTGAGTAGTGGATGAGTGTGGCTGGGTACACTGTGTCACGGGATCTCCGCGCTGAGGTGGGGTGAAGTGTTCATCTTCGGACTTCACTTTCACCCCAGCCCGCTTGGCCTTATGGTTAGGTGTTAGCCTGCCAAGCCGTTGGTTGTGTGTTCGAGTCTTGTATTCGACATGCACATGCTTTCGTGCAGTAACCGCCGTAGTTAGTACACTACGGCGGCGTGGCTGCGTAGGGGATGAGTGCGGTTGGGTACACCGTGTCGTGGGGTGGGGTGAAGTACTCATCTTGGGGCTTCATTTTCACCCCCAACCACTAGCCATATAGGGGTTAGCCTGCCAACCCGTTGGTTGTGTGTTCGAGTCTTGTATTCGACATGCGCCGTGCAATAAGTCAAGAAATGAGGCAGGCAGACCACAAAGGCCCTGGCCCCAAATCATCAGAAGCTGGAGGGAGATTCTCCCAGCCAAGGTGAGGAGCACAATGTCTAATGAACATATATTGCGACAGCCGTTATTTTGCAATGAATGAATCACGGACCCGCGATGGAAGCCCTGGACCTCGAATGATGACTGGGCTACCCTCATAACTGAGGCCCCACCCACACATTTGCCTTTCAAGGAAACACCAGGCAGGAGGGAGACTGGCTCCTCTTCGGGATGTACGAGATCACAGTCCCAGGCAGAACAGCTAGCCTGCTGGCCAGACATAGCACAACACAGTTGCCATACGACGCGACCTCCTGTGCAAAGTCCGGGTGATAGAAAATGAGGACCATAGACTTTTCACCCTCCCAGAATGGAACTCCAAGGAATGGACCTGGACCTCGCAAGGAAAACTAGAAGCTGAGAGCAGGCGCTACAACCTTCTACAATACACCACTAGGCTCAAATACAAGCTGGCAGTGGGGAATGCAATCACGGCCAGATGGGCCGCGCAGATGGGAGTGGACCTCACGCCCTTCCCCTCCATCCCATGGGATAGGGTTCTAGCAATCCGGAACACACATGCCAGAGCATGTAATGGTCGATCGTCTATCTTGCAGTGGTTTGCTTGACAACGTCGTCTATGCAACACATCCCCACTCAGCTGGCTTTGGACCATATGTGACTATGGACAGACAGAAGATGTACTGAACTGTATGATAACCTGTCGAAGGCCAGGAGCTTTGGGACAGAGTGGCACTGCTGTGGCAAACGCTCACAGAGGATCCCCTCCCGTGACAGCCGCTGACGCTGCTGATGGGAATCATAACCCAGAAGTGCACGACGCCATTACAAAGACCAGCTGTTTCAACAACTGCGCCTCCTGACACTTTGGATCAGATGGAAGAGAAGATGCCAGGAGACCATTGATTTCTAGCAACAGTCCTTGCAGGCACGGGAGGGCCTGCTCACACTCCTGAAACTGGAATATTGGACTGACTGGACCCGGGCAGAACGTGCTATGACTCACCAACCAGAGAGAGCACAGAAACTTAGAGAAGCATTCGTGAATAACCGGCTGGGGGCAGGCAGACAACCTCGATGGCTGATGGATCCGCTTTAAATGGTGGACCTGGCAGACTGATCAGGAGCATCCGCGAGTGAGAACTCCCTACATAGTCAGCCTGATACATGTGATTTGATCTCGCAGCAAGCGGACGTACCCAAAGACCGACACCATTGGGGGACTCCCCCCCCCCCCTCATTGGAAATTGGATTCAATCATTGAAGTTGATGGAATGGAGAGCAAGGAAGAAGAAGACCTTGTCGGTCAGCGGAGGTGGAGTGTTGGTACATCCTTCCGCACGGGAAACAATCAATGTCACTATCTTGGGGTCTCCTGACCATAACGGGAAGAAACATGGGTGAGTTCCACCGATGTGAGGGATGTTGGACCCGATTCCAGCTGATATAATAAAGTTGTATGACTCTTTCAAAAAAAAACAAAAAAACATGACACTACCTGATAAGCACTGCGCGAATAGCTGATATAAATGCTCTTACCACCACATCCAATAGGCCTCATGTGGTCTCCATAATTCACAAAGAGTTGCACTGTTTCAAAGGGACCTTTTGTCATATTTCGCATCACTACTACGGTCCTACCACAAACCACCATTCCGTGTGTTTGCACATTCAGGCGATGTTGAGCTCCAATCAGTGCAATACTCAAAATCCTAGAGTGCCCCAACCTCTTCAACCTCTCCGTCTGAGTCCATGTGCCCTAGGTGCCCTGATGAATGTTGTCATTCATTAGTGAGATCAAGGGACCCAGGCACAAACGCATACAGGTGTGTAATACCACGAGTAAAGCCAGTGTGACTGCTGTCCAGTTGATGCAGCTCAGTGGTTAGAGCACCGGTTGGAAATGCACATTGTGGCTAGGAAGATTCTCACGCCCGGCCGGTCCTGCCCGGCCGGGCAACCAGGCGTGACGCCCGGGGGGGTCTGACGCCCGGGGTACCCGGGCGTGCAAAAAAAAAAAAAAAAAAGATTTTTTTTTTTTTTTTTTTTTTTTTTTTTGGTTTTCTGCGCTCTCCCAGAGGACTCCAAATCCGGGCTCATTTCGTTTTTTGCGAGTTGGCTGTCAAGGGGGGGGGAGGGGGGTAGAAATTGGTTTTGAAGGGGCTAAAGGGGTCTATAGGGGGGTGCCTTTGTGTGATTCTGTTTTTTTTTTTTTATCTCCGATTCTGTGACGAATTATAATGTGACCCTCAGCCAAGTGGTTTGCATTTCAATCCTACACAACATTTTTTTTTTCTGGAATTTCTTGCGTTTTTTTTTTTTTTTTTTTTTTTTTTTTTGGCGCTAGGGCTGCCCAGAACCCTGCCCGGGGGTCATGCCCGGCCGGGCACCCGGGCGTGTACCCGGGCAGAAGTTGGGTGCCCGGGCGCCCAGGAAAACAGCCTAGCATTGTGGTATGAGGTTGCATGTTCAAAATTCAATTGCAGCCTTGTGCATAGACACCGGCAGGGAATTAGAATGACGTACGGCTGGACACACACACCCTTGGGCTGGCGCATGGTAAGCTATTACAGACACTGCCTGCGCACCACCCAAGGTTTGTCCATGGTGTTGTATGTCAGGTCTTGATACTTTGTGGGTTGCTTGTGGCTGTTACTCATGGTTGTTCTGTTGATCTCCCCAGCCTAGCATATATCACACAGGTGCCATTTGATACTTGGGTTGCTTGTGGCT